GACGTCTCGACACTATAGGCGACTGTCCGATGATTTCCCGTTGTGCAGCGTGCTTCATAGCTCCCCAGCTTGCCTATAAATGAAGTGCAGGAAACCAACTCCATGTTTCATAAAAATGAAGGATGCAAATAATTATTCGGCTGCAGCTTTCGTAGCCAACAGATCTCTGGCGTCTAGACTGTACCGGTGCTTCGCAGCATTCCCTGTCGATTGGCGCGCATAGTTCCTGAGCGGGCCTAGATCTCGAACGCGACTCAGTGCGAATTGAATTCCAGTCGCAGCTATGGTTACAGTCCGATTTGAGGCACCCCGATGGCGTAGGCGAATGTACCCGATGACCTATTGCTTCGACAAGTGCTTTTTCAGGTCCGTAGCCAGCCTGCAGCTCGAATGGAGTAGAACAAACTATCATCATCTTAAAAGATTAGCAGAGTGCAAGTATGACTTCTGGGTTCCGGCTCTGATAGCAGACCGATTTCTGACATCTAGATACTCGAGACTAGCGCTTATGATGTTCTTCTTTCGATGGATTGCAGAACAGCTCTGTAGATTATCTGCAGCTCTATTTAAGTTAGAAAATCAGCAGCATCTCTTAAAACATAGAGTCCGAATCATTTGTTTGGCTCCAGATCGAATAGCAGACCAGTTCAGGCATCCAGATACTTAGAACGAACGCTTTCAATGATTAGATTCCGATTTCTGTGCCGAACAGCTCTGTAGCTCATCTGCAGTTCGAGTTTAATTAAGAAAAGCATCATCGTCTCTTAGAACATTAGCAAAGTTCTAGACATATTAAGTGTGCCTGTCGGCTATGTAGCTGTTCTACAGACCGAGTTAAGTTAAGAAAACCGACAGCACTTGCCAAGATGACACTCAGCAGCCGATCCCGCCTGAGTGCGTTTTGATAGAAATATCTACCCGATCGACCTGATATTAAGATGGCGAGTGGGCATAAGATCGAAGAGGGGGGGATAAATATTAGACTTCTAACGAACGTTCAAATTTCGAGAAATTGATTATAAATTCCCTCGGTGCAGCGCCGCGCCAGCAAACGGCACAGACGTCTTGGCGCGGCGGACAGGACGGTCGGGCTCGCGGCGTAGGGCGACCCCATGGTGCACCCCGCACGCCGACCCGACCCCGTAGCCTGGCCGCCTGCGCTGCACTACAGATTCCCCCGACCCCCCCCCCCCCCCGAGAAAAAAAGCCAAGAGGCCAAAGGGTGGTGAGGGTAGGGAAAAGGGAAGCCCGCAGGCGCGTGGACCACCGCAGGAGCCCGCCTGCCATGGGACACACAATCTGCGGCCGCAAGCGCGTGGGCCCCATTCGGGGGCCCGCCTGCTCCTGGCCCTCGCAGGCCCCTGGGCCCCCGCAGGGGCCCGCCTGCCCTTCGGCCGTTACTTGCTATCCCGCCACGGACCTTTGGCGGACGGTGGGCACAGGCCGCCACCGAGAGGCGCGGCGGCCCACCCGAGACTCGAAACCGACAGACGAGGCAGCAGCACTACAGCCCTGGCGAGCAGCGCGAGGCTCGGGGAAGCGAAAGAGCGACTGCGTCAAGAGCGCCAGGCTCGGAGGAGCGAAAGAGCGATTGAGTGACAGAGGTACGGAGGTAGTCGAACGTGGGGCGGCACCAGGAACTTATACGCCTGCCAAACCTCCGATTTACAGGGTATATAAATTCCCTCGGTGCAGCGCCGCGCCAGCAAAGGGCACAGACGTCTTGGCGCGGCTGACAGGACGGTCGGGCACGCGGCGTAGGGCGACCCCATGGCGCACCCCGCACGCCGACCCAATGCACGCCCAGCCGCAGCCCGCCGTGCCAGCCGGCGCACACTCCCCCCCATAGCTCTGCCCCGCTCTGTCCCTCGCACCCCAACGCATGCGTCGTGCGCACGGCATCGCTGAGGCCCTCTCGCTCGGAGTCAGAGCTGTCCGACACCCTCTATCCAGGCTCCTCCCCCTCGGAGCTGTCCGAGTGCCCAATGGCCTCCTCCGCCGCCAGAGTCTCGCTCATGGCCCTGGCTGACGGGCACGCCCAGGCTGCCACGCTGCGCCACCCGCCCTGAGCGAACATGGCCGCCGTCCTGCGACCTGAGACCACGTCGGCCACGCCCCTGAGGAAAGCATGGGTACCCCATTCCGCCGCGCGCGGCAGTGCCAGCGCCATTGCAGCTAGCTGCAACAGCGACAGCGACTCCGCGCATGTCAGACCCGGGAACACAAGCGACCCAGCGCGCGACGCCCTGCGGTGCAGCACACAGACCCCGCAGAGGCGCCGCCCCTGGATGTCGCACACACACACACACACACACACACACACACACACACACACACACACACACACACACACACTTCCGCCACAATTGCTCGGGCTCCCTGCGGCATTTGCGCAGTGCCAGAGTAATGCAGGCGCCTCTCTTGCCAGCCTGCGACGCGGAACGGGGCGGCGCGCGCGCGTCCCCCCACCCCCCCGTGCCCGCGGCCGCCGGGGATGCCTCCTCGAATGTCGAGACCGCCGAGTGGCCGTTGCCACTCAGGCCGACGACTTCCGCCCCAAACCTTCAGCAGAACTGCCTAGGACACGAAAAACACCGACGGGAAGGAACCCGGCCCTCCCCCCTCGGCACGCTCGCGCAGGCCTGGCTACAAGGAAAGAATCAGCCACGTCGTCGCGCCCAGTTTCACGCCGGACCCACGCCGCCAGCTCGCGCGTCTGTTCCGCACTCGCCCTGGCGAGGTACCGCCGCACCGCCCGGTCCTCGCATTTCTGCGCCCCCTTCACGATGCCCCCCATGGCGCCCAGCACCCCCGCGGGGGCGCGGAGGAGGCGCAGCACTGACCGGATCCTCGAAGCGCACTGCGACAGCGTCGCTGCCGACCGGCACACGGTGATCAAAACCTCGAGAGCAGGCCCGCTCGGCGGCCAAGGCTCGACCCCCGCCGCCCTGCGCGCTCGCGCGGCGGGCACGCGCTTTGCGGGCGGCGCGACTGCACCCCCCTTTATTACAGGACCTGCAGCACAATCCGCAGCACGCCACTGATGAGGCGCACTGGGCCGCAGTCTTGCGCCACCGGCCCATCTCTACCCACACGGCGGTGAGGCTGATCATCTCGCGCCGATAGCTATGAATTCCCGCGGCGATCAGCGCCTCGCCTCCCTCGGAAGGCCGCGCTGGTAGGCCGAGCGCCGCCAGGTGTCCGGCGGCCCTTCCTAGCAGGAGGCAGGCCAGCCGCAACGGGCACGGTGGACACCCCCTCTCCCCGGCCTGGACCAGCTCTCGCAGCGCGGCCCGCACCTCCTCCAGGCGCGGATGCACCGCGGCGGGCGCCCGCCAGGGCTGCGCTTCCAGAGCTCTCGCCGCCCCGCCGGGATTGGCCTGCGAACGAAAGACGCACGCACCCGCGCACGCGCACGGGCCATGACACGGGCGCCTCCGGCCGGGGCGCGCACACCGGCCCCGCCGTCACACGCCGTCGCTCGCGGGTCTTCACGCACGCCGCGAGTTGGTCCGCCAGGCCGGGCGTCCGCTTGAAGGCGGGCCAGACCAATTCCAACTCACAGCCTGCCAGGCCCTCGAGATCTTCGCGGCCGGGCGCGGCACCCTGCAGCTCCGCGCGAACGCGCACGCGCCCGCGACCTCGACGCCTTTGATTCCCCCCTGCAACATAACCAACGCCACCGACTCTGGATTCAGCGCCCGCCCGGCCGGCGCTGCATTCACGGCCATGCGCACAAGAGCAAGCAAGTCGCCATTCGGAGGCGGATTGCGCTGCATGCCTTTATACACAAAACACTCGCGGTGGCCCGCGGACTCCGCGCACGCCCCAAACGACGCGAGCATCCCTCCCGCGCCCTTCGGAGGCGGATCGCGCTGCATGCCTTCATGCACAAACACTCGCGGTGGCCCGCGGACTCCACGCACGCCCAAAACGCTCCGGCTCCTCGCCCTTCCCCTGCAAAAGGAGGGGGGGAAGGGCGAGCCCACAGCGCCCCGCGCGGGGCGCGGTCCCCCGCGGATGGCATCACTGCCAGGGCGGTTGCGCGGGCCACTGCCACGCTGCTCCTGAAAAGCCCGCTCGACGCACGGCTTCCAACTCGCGCCACTTGGACCCCGGGCGGGTAGGCGCGTCCGCTGGATTCTGCGCGGAGGGCGCGCGAAAGGCCCACACGGCGCACCCTTTGGTCGCCGCCCCGAGCCACAGGTTCCCGACCAGGGCATTCCAGTCGGGTTGGCGCGAGGCCCCCAGCACAATCGTGCCCAGGGCGACAGCGGAGTCAATGAAGCAAACAATTTCGATGTCGCCATACTCCGCAAGCACCGTTCCCAGAGCGCAGAGTGCCGTCACGAGTTCCCAAGTGGCCACCTGCGCACCGCGCGCGCCCCACAACACCCACGTTCGGCCCTCGCGGCCGCGCGCGCGGGCCTGCACTTTCCGGCGCACCATCCAGCCTCGTAGGGCAGCAGGCACGTCCGCCGCGGCATACCTTCTGCGGGAGCCGTCATCGACCACCCATGCCGACCTCACGACATTCCACACCCGGCAGCGGGGGCGGGACGGCACGCAGCGCACGCGACCTGCCGCCGCCCGTTGCATCCGAGTAAACAAGCACGCGCTGCTTTGCCCGCCACCGCAGCGGGACATGCCGCCGGGGCGCGGCGGCCAAGAATCGCAGCCACCATTCGAGCGTACGCCTCAAGCGCGTGGTCAACACCGTTCGCCTCCTGGTGGACCAATGGAAAAGCGGAGCCAAGTAAACGCGGGCGCCCCTGCCGAAGACGGCGGAAGCGCCCCGCCCAAGCTTTCCCGCCAGCTTGGCCGCACCCGCGGGCGACAGCTGGCCAGACTGGAGGACCTGCTCAATGGAGCTCCTCTACTTGGCCACTTTCTCAGGCGGGATGCTGAAAGCCAACGCCTGTTCCTGCGCAACAAAACTCGCGGGCCGGCCGACCACGCGCCCCCCCCTGGTCGACCAGCGGGGCGCGACAGTGGCGCACCGGCTTATTGATTACCGTAACCGTTACGCCCAGGACCTCGGCCGACTCGGCCGACGACGCGCGCTTCTCCTCGTCCAACTCCCAGCCCAACAAAGTCCCGATTACGAAGCGCGACACCCGAGATGCTCCAGCGGCCCCCGCTAAGGGCCCCTCCGCCCAGCCTCCCTCCGGGTCGATTCCGAACAAGTCGCCCACGAATCTCCCGGCTGGGGCGAAGAAAGGCCGGCCCAGGATCGCCTGCAGCGCGCGCGGCGCGCCCCGCCGCTTCCGGGGAGGAAGAGGGCACTCGCACCTGCACAGCGCCTCCAAACCGCCCCCAGGCATACACGCTCGCCACCGCACCGAACGGGCAGCACCACAGCAGCAGCGCCCAGCCCTCCTGCGCCGCCTCCCCCCAGGCGGCCGCCGCCATGCACAGGGCAGACAGCGCCAGCGGCAGGGTCTTGAATGCCCGCACGAAATCCTCTTTGCGGAGCCTCAAGGGCCCCCGGCCCCGCAGAGCCCGCGCCAAGCTGACGAGCACATCGAGAGTCTCCATCCGGATACGCTCTGTCGGCGCGGTACACTCATTAATCAAGCTCGCCGAGAAATCATCAATTACGCGTACCTGCTGCGCGATCGCTAGAAGCCGCTCTCGCTTCGCGCGGCTCGGTGCCGCGGGAAAAAGGCGGCCCGCGCGGCTCGGTGCCGCGGAAAAGGCGGCTCGCGAGAGACCCGAAAGGCGGCTCGCGCCGCACCTTACGCCTCCAGCCGCCCTCCTGTTTCCAGCGCCATCCCTCATCGACCGGAAATCTGGGAGTCAACACCGCGTCTCGGCAAGCCTGGCCCGACGGGCACCATGCGCCTTTGCCCATTTCTACCTGAGCGCGCGCTCGGGCGCGCACATGAGCGGCTCGGCGCCGCGGGAAAAGGCCCCCTCCCCGCGCGCCCCCTCGCTTGCCTCGCGCAGAAACTCTCGCCGCAATTCCCCGCCGTGGGCGCGATCGCCCGCGACCCGGCGGACCGCGTCAGCATTCAGGCGCGGCGCTTCGCGGTGGGGCGACAGGGGGTCACGGAAATCCCGTCGCCACCCGCTCCACACCGCCCGACACTGGCAATTCGCCTACCAGAGGGAAGCCCCTCTCGATTTGCAGCGCGACGTCCGCATCGCTCACCCTTGCCGCCGCCAACATGTCCTGCAAGGGTCGGGCGCGCAGAGGGCGGCCACCCCGCGCTGGCCCGCACCCCAGCCCCGATGCCTGCAAGAGCCACAGATTTTTCTTCGGCCCCAGCACGGCTTGCACGCGAGGCGGAAGCCCCTGAAAATGCGCCTCCAACGACGCTTGACCCACGGGCGAGGCCGCGCGCGCGGGCGCGCCGCCACCTGCCACGCCGGGTCCAGCACCCGCTTGCGATTCTCCCAGCAATGCCAGGCGGCCGCCCGGCGGCGGCGCAGGTCGCGCCCCTCGAGGGCAGCGCGCGCGCCCACCGCGTCCGCCCATGCAGCAGGGAGCTGCTTGGGCCCCTCACACTCGGGGAGGCGCTGGGCCCACCCCCAGTGATCCAGCGGGGACATCCGCTTGATTCTTTCCTCGCCTGATAGCAAGTCCCCCACCGCTTGCCGCAAGGCAAGCGCGACTGAAGCGTAAGCCTCGCCACCGCGGCCCGCGCGCGCGACCGCGCCATGGGCGACAACGGCGAGCCTCGTCAACGAAAGGCCCCTCGACCGCGCCTGGGGGCAGCGATGCCTCGCCGTCCCAGCGCTCGTCAATTCCTGCACTATCTTCCCACTCTGCCTGCCCCCCCCCCGCGGTGATCGCGATCGACCCCCTCGCGGGTTCATGCGGGCCAGCGCGCGCGTCGTGCCTCGCTATTCCCCGGCAATTTCCCCTGCAACGCCGCAACGCGCGCGCGCGCGCGCGCGCGACCGCTACATGGGCGGCACTTGCGGGCCTCGTCAACGCATGTTTCCCCGACCGCGCCCGGGTGCAGCGATGCCTCGCTATCCCAGCGCTCGTCAATTTCTCCACTATCTCCCCTCGCTGCCTGCCCCCCCCCGCAGCGGTCGCGATCGACCCCCTCGCGGGTTCGCACGGGGCAATCGCGCGCGTCGTGCCTCGCTTTCCCACGGCAAATTATTCCATGCAACAGCAATCGGCGTGACGGTGCGCCGTCACTTCTTGTGGCCGCTCTTCTTCCACTAGCTCCACGGCACCCACTTGCTCTCACCGCTCTTGGCGGCCAGCTGCTTGCCGGCGCCGGAGCCACGCGCCGGCGCGGAAGACCCCAGCCGCCGCGAGGCGAGCGGGACCTCGCCGCGCCCCACGCCTTGGGCGGCCTCTTCGGGCTCTGGACCGGCCTGCACACGGTGGATCGCGGCCACGCAGACGGAAACATCCCGTGGACACTCCTGTTGTCAGGCGCACGACTCTCCGCCCCCTGGCCCGCCCTGGCACGCGGCGCATCGCCGCGCGGCCTCCGGCGGACTGGGCGGCACACCCCGCCTCGGCCTCGCCGCTGCCACTCCCTTCGACTTGGACTCCGCCTTGGCCTTGGCGGCCCTGAGCACATCCCAGTCCAGGGTGCACAGCAGCGCATCAACGCCGCCCGCGCCCTGCTCCAGCGCGCGCGCGGCTTGCGAAAGGGGGGGGTCGCATCGCGCCCGGCGCGCGCCCCCCCTGCACAACACCCCCGCCTTCTGCCGCATGGCGATATCATAGAAATACACGGTGCGGGCCCCACCGTGCTTCCCCGCAATCCGGCTCAGCTGCCATTGGTAGGCCAGCAGCACCACCGACGTGAAAACCTGGGCGATGATGCAGCGCATTCCCCATTCAAGCAGGTGCGCCTGCCCGCGGACGGTACTGCGCCGAAACTTGCCCCCCGCGCGCACCGCGCTGTTGCGCGGGCCCCTTCGCGTCCTGGAAATCGGCATACGACGCGAAGTCCACACATGTCGTCGCTTGGCCGCCCGGTGGCCTGCGCGACCTCTTTGGCGCGGCTCTCTGCCGAGCCCCCGGGCAAGACGGCATCGAAGAAAGCCGCGCGCCTGCGCCCCCCCCCCCCCGCGCGCGCAAGAAAAACGGGGCATCGCGCAGCACCATGTCCAGATCTGGCACACGGCCCCACGGCTCCTTGAAATGCAACTGCAAGTTTTCACCCTCGGCGCCCCCCAAATAACGCCGGCCCTTGGCTGCCGCGGCCTGCGCCGCGCACGCCACGCCGCGCTCGCGCGGCGACTCGCTCTGCCGGCGGCGCGTTCGCGAGCTTTTCGAAACGAAGCATGGCCTCCTCCGTCGGGAGGGCCTCGCCTGGAAAGGCGTCAAGCCCGACCTCCCTGATCCGCTCCTGCGCGCGCCGCAGCCGCGCCCCCCCCCCCACTGGCTCGCCACCGCGGGCCAAGGACCTGGAGCGTAAAGGACAAATGATCGGTCTTCTTCTGCTTATCCATCTGCTCGCGCGACGCCTGCACATATTCGGCCATCGCGCCCATCGCCTTCGCGAGGTCGCCGCTGCTCGCGGCGCCCGGGGCAACACCCTGCGCAACGCCCCCCCGAAGCCACGGGCCCCACGCCGGATCGCAAGACATGCGCGAGTCCTGTGCGCGGCCCTGAACGCGGAGGGCCAGGGCACGGTGGGCGGGAGTTACCTTGAACTCCGCCCGGCCCTTGCCCTCCCCGGCGTTGAACGGCCGCGAGTTGGCCGCCGGTAATCCCGCGGCAAACACCTCCTTGATAGAGGCGTCCGCGAAATCTTCGGCGAGCGCCGATCCGACGCATTCCGCCATCATTCTCGCAGTCGCCACGTAATCCATCACGGACCTTTCGCGTGGCTCCGCGTCCACCGCCTGCGCAAAATGGACCCATTTCACCTGCGACACAGCTCGGCGCACGCAGCCCGCTCACCCCCCTCGCACGCCGCGCGCCTGGGCCCGGCGACCCGCTCTGGCGAAGGCGGCTCCCCCTACGGCTTCAAGCAGAGCAAGGACATCGCGGTCGGAATCAAGGCCGAGACGCTCCACGCACGCCGCGCAGGCGCCCCCCATCCTTGGGCGCGCCCAACGGCCCGCACGCCGCCCGAGCTCCGTCCACGGCCACCGTTACCTGGCACGACGCTCCCAGCCCGCGCGCGAGCGCAGCCACGAATGCAGCCCAAGCCACGCACGCAGCCAGCCCCCAATCCCCAACGCGCCCGGCAACGTACGCAGCGCACGCGCGCACGCCCCGCGCACCCCCTGCCCGCGCACCCAGCAGGTCCTGGCCTGCGCACTGTGGACAATCACCGCAGCTGGGCTTGGCCCGCGGCCCCTGGATCAAATAAGGGGGCCGTCGCCGCGAGTTCACCGTCCGAGCGCCCGCGTCGGTAATTCGAACGGGACTAGCTGCGGCCGCGACCGGCCGCTCGCGGGCGCGGGAACTGGCGTACCAGATCGCCGAAGCACGCCCGGCACCGCCCCCCCCCCCGCGCAGGGGCCCCCGCATGCGGGTAGCGCGAGGCCGCGCGCCCGCGGATCCGCGCGCCGGCCGGCACCGCCACTGCTCTTCCCAATCCTTCTTGACCGCGGCTGGTTCGCCCAGCCGACCCGAGACTCGGAACCGACAGACGAGGCAGCAGCACTACAGCCCTGGCGAGCAGCGCGAGGCTCGGGGAAGCGAAAGAGCGACTGAGTCAAGAGCGCCAGGCTCGGAGGAGCGAAAGAGCGATTGAGTGACAGAGGTACGGAGGTAGTCGCACGCGGGACGGCACCAGGAATTTATACGCCTGCCAAAGCTCCGATTTACAGGGCATTTAAACAGACAAAAAAAGACAAAACTTCCGTCGAACATTTTCGGGCCAACTGGCCCCCCAGCGCGCCGGAATTACTCTCCAGCTTCGCCGCTTCGCTCTTAGGGAAGCTCTACGAGTCATGCTCGGAGCCACAGACCTGTTCTCGATGCTCTTGCCGATCCTTGATGCTGGCCCTTTTTGCGCCCATCCCTTCCGACGCGGCGGCCGCCTCGGCACCGCCCCTGCCACTGGCACGGACGATTTTGCCGCGATCATCCCGCGACACGCGCGGCGCAGTGGGTACCAGCAGCGGATGGCGTGCTCGGCGCGCCCGCGGCCAAGCCAATACTCCCTGTCTTCTGCTGGCACGCGTTGGCGGGCAAGCCAATGGTCATTTTGACTGACAAACCGGCGTCGGCGAGGGCATCCAGGTTCACCCGGGCGCCCACTGCCCCGAGGCGGGGTTCCCCGCGAACGCTCTCTCTGAAGCGGGTTTCCCCGCGAACGCCCCTTTCTAGATGGACTTCCTGGCATCCCCCGATCAGGCGTTCGCGGGCGCCGCGCGCCACTGGAACGGGCGCGCGAATTCCTGCGCGAGCGACTCCACCCATGATGATGTAGTGGATGATGGTTCTCAGCTTCCCACTCTTCATCGTCATCATCAGCGCAATCCACTCGCCTCCAATCCGGGCGACTCGCAGACCGGTCGCGTAGTGCGAACGCGAAGTGAGCACCCTCGCCATGTCCGAGCCCGCATTGAACGCGCCGGGAGAGGTCACCAGCATCACGCGGGTTGCCCCGCAAAGGATCATCGACGTAGGGTTCCCCGCACGCAGGGTTTCCAATGACCAGCGGTCGGAGCACCAAGCGAAACCCCTCCTCCGCAGCGGGCACCGTCGCATCGGAGTCCGCAGGTGCCCCCGCCATCTCGGGATCCGAGTCAGCGGACACGCTGCAATTCTCGACGAACTCTTTCTACGCAGGTTGCCCCGTGATAGGAATGCGCAACCAGTCCGCAAGAGTGATCTCGTCGTGGCCAACGCACATCTCCTCGAAGAGATCATCGGCATATCTCTCGATGGGACCCGCTGGCGCTCAGACACCTCGCGGCCGTGAAGTGGACAGCGGCAGTGGGATTGTCTTCGGGTTCGGCGAGAAGCGTCTTCCAATCGACACACTGATTGTCGGAATCGGTTTGAGTCAACTGCATCGACGGACCCCTGCCTCCCCCATCGCCTCGGGGGCATTCACGACAAAAATGTTGTGCACGATTGGCAGATATCACATGCCATGGCTTTTCCGTTGGCGTCTTTCGGGATACCCCAGCGCCCCCAGCCTTTTCCTGAGGCGCGCCCACGGCCTCTAGCTGTCCCCAGGCAATCTCCGTCGTCTATCCTTACCTCTACCCGTGCCTTTGACCTAAACGCCCGTCGGACCGCGCGTCGTACATTTCGAACTGGTCTTCATATAGCGTCTCCATCGGCGACTGTGTTAATGGCATCCAAGGAATGACCACTGCGCCTGCTGTCCTTCAGTAAGATACACGGGCATGTCAGAATAATCCAACTTACCAGTTCCATCGTCCGATGAGGCGTCAGCGTCGGCGCCGAAATCCGATTCGGACTCGGTGGGTTGCCCCGCAGAGCCCGCGAAGGCAGCGGCCAGGGCAGGGGCCCCCGTTGCCGACGGTCCCTGATGGCGAGCCCAGGAGACTTGCGACGCCCTGCACGAGCGTCGGCACGAAAGGCTTCGGCGCGATGGCCGCGGCTAGATATACTACCAATATTGCCGGGAGTCCGCTCAGCAATATGAGCGCAGGATCTCACGCGCTCTAATAGGGCGTCGAACTGCCGTTGAGTCCTCGGCATTTCATGGTTTGGCGGTTGCGGGAGTTGCCGCGCACGCGATGCACCAATACCCATCGCTCTGCATAGTATAATAACTGTCATGATCTGGAAGTTGGGAACGTTGAAGCCTGCGGTCCCGGCATCAGAGCGTGCTTTCTCATAGCGGGCTTTCCTCCTCTGGCCCTGCAAACTTCGCCCTGTGGAGGAACGCGACGCAGGTGGCGACATCGGCGCGGAGACCACCAATAGTCACACCGAAGTTAACGACTGAGTGCCGCGGCCTGTCGGGGGGGGCCACGGCGCCTGTGGCCACGTTGATCCAGGCGCGCACCTCGCGAACAAACTTGCGGAAAGGTACGTTGCCAGCAGGGCCCAGCGGGGGCCGGTAGCACGCGCGTCGTCTCCGCCACGCTGCGCGTGCCCAACAGCACATCCGACCGCGACCCACGGGAGGCCAAGCACGGCAACGCCAATCCAATGGCCTCGTAGGTCGAGGTCGGCTGTTTGCGGCTGCGGTTCATGATGCGACGTCGCCGTTAGCCTGCGCGGGAGTGGAGGCGGCGCTGCATCGTATCGCACGTTGCCACGCATCGTGTATTCGAAGAACTTTCCAATTATAAAGAGAGGCTGGACTTCAGGAGTGCAGTAGCGCAGAGAGGTGGACCTCCGCGCGAACGGAGGTAGCACTGCAAGTGTCCTTGCGGTTGCGCATGGAAATGCGCATTCCCACGCGCAAAGCCACTGCACCCTGATTTTCCAGCATATCCGCAGTCCGCCAGATGGTGCCGTGGATAGCGAGGAGTAGAGAGATAGCTGTCCTCCACAGGACAGCTCCGCTACCAAGTTGGAAAGGGGGTCGGGAGGCCCAACCAGATACTTCGCCCAAGGCGAAGCCCATATCCAACTCTTCTGCACCGTAGTAACGACAGTCCCAAGAAAATGAGTGAGTCGCGGGAGCGACGAGCCATGTCGAGCGATGATGTTTTCGGCCCCAATGGCAAGTAGCGTGCCTCGCGACGAGGCACAATCATATATTGATCACAGACGGCCGCGGACAAACGCTCGCTACCCCTCGCCTTTGCCCTAGCCTCCTTCAGAATAGTCCAAGCAAACGCCGCGTTGAATTATCAGGGCCAGGTGGCTAGGTCAATGCAGTCGCGAGACTTCTCCACGCCCCTCAGGAGGGCGCCTTACTCGGGCGCGCCCACGTCGGGCCACGCCTCGTCGAGAACCGCGGTGAGCAGCACAGCCTGAAGCGCAGAGGTCCCACGCACCGCTGCGCCCCCAATGCCCAGCGTGTTTTTCGCACCACTCCGCGAGGGCAGACTTCGACATGCGGCCCCAGATGCCGCGGACATGCTGAAAACTTTCTAGAAGCCCCGAGTAGGCCTCCCCTGGTGTGATACCGCATCATTTGGAACACTATCCGCGCCTTGGCCCGCAGATCGTCCATCGCCACTCGCAAAGCTGCCAGGCGGCGCAGTTTGAGGGTCCAGCGGGCCTCCCTACGGGTGCCGCGCAAGCCAGCGGTGGCCTGCACGGTGTCGCATACTTCCAAGGAGTCGGGGTCCACGTAAGTCTGGCGAAGGCCTGAATACCAGGTCTCTTGAAGTACCTGTGGGGACCCAATCATGGGGCACTGTGTGTTCGTGACTGCCTGGGCTAGGATCTGTCCTGGCCTGCTGCCTGGCTAACCTGGCGTGGCGGGACGGCCGAGCCTGGATACTCAGAAAAGGCTTGCCAAACTACAGATGCTCCACCAGCGCGAAGGAGTTCCCATTGTCAACGCACCCTATCATCAGTGGAAACACGAAACTGGCCACTTGCCACTTGCCTGGCCCCCTTCGTGCAGGGCCCTGCTCGTCGTATAAATGCTGTGGGTGATCCATTGCGCACACCACCGGCTCCTGCACGCGCATCTGGTACGACTGTATGCCGGTAGCGCCCCAGCGCAATCAGCTGTTCTTGCGCTCAGGCGCGCACGCTAGCCCGTGGGCTGCTGATTTTGCTCGCATGGTACTGGCCGTACAGGACGTGTTGCTCCTGGTGGTGCGCTTTCTGCCACTGGCACGTGGAGGAGTGGCGCGCCGGGGGCTACCTCAGAGAGGCAATGCCCAAGCAAGCAGGCGCGGGCCTCTTGAGTTCTGTGCCTGTGGCCTCGCCCTCCTTTTCAGTGGAAGGGGAAGAGCAGGGGGAGGAGGAAAGGGAGGAGGGAGAGAAGGACGAGAGGGACGAGGAGGAGGAGGAGGAGAAGATGGGAGGAGGGCGAGGAGGATTGGGTGTCCCAAAACCGCGTGGTGACAGACCCGGCGGTGACCTCGAAATCCGCAAAGACCTCCACCGCACGGTCCGTCACCACACGGTTTTGGGATCCTGGAGGCCCCAGTCGCCCGAGACATCCTCGGAGAACGACCCAAGTCCCAAAACCGTGCGGTGACCCCGAATCCCCACCGACTCACCACACGGTGTGGTCACCACCCCGTTTGGGAGCCTCCGAGAGGAGGTTGGGGGTCGGGTTGTGGGCGACAAGATCCATGCGTATCCGCGGCCCCCTGGCCAGGCCCATCCTGGGCCAAGGAGCGGCGCGTGCACCCTCCTGGCCTGGCCGAAAAGCACAGGCACGGCTCCTGGGCCCGGGAGAGGGCCCGGCTGGCGGCCCGTCTAGATCTCGTCGCCCTTGGATTGGCGGCCGCGGCGAGGGTCCCTCGGCCTCGAAGCACGCCCTTCACGGGAGAGAGCACGGCGCCGTTATTCGCGCTGCGGAAGACGGGCTGGTCGGTCACGCGCTGCCCTGGCACCGTCTCGCCCTTGCCATTGATGATCCTCGCCCCCCTTGTGAAGGGCGACCTCACGCGCTCCTGGGCGGCGCTCACATAAGGGTGGCGCGAGGAGGGTGGGCAGCTGAAGCAGGCGGCGAAGCTTCTGAGAAGGCATAGGAACTTCTCGGAAGCCCAGCCCAGCTTCGAAGAAGCCTTCTCAGAAGCAGCTTCGAAGCATGGTGCCTCTGTAAGAACGTCACTGCCGTCTAAAAAACTCGCAAAACAATAGAAGCTTCTAAGAAGACAGAGGGCCTTCTAAGAAGGCCCCTGCTCCTGAGAAGCCGCTCCTCTTTCTGACAAGGCCGCCTCCCTCGCGCCACCCATTTGTGGGGCCGCCAAGCTCCAGCTGCAGGTTGTACTTCTCGTTGTTGGAGATGAAGCTCATCTGCAGCGGAGCGGCTGGGCTCAACTCGGCCATGAGGCGCCGTCCGCCTCCAGACTGGCGAAGCGCCGCAGCCTCTCACAGCGCCGCATGTCGCCCCCACATAAATACCATCGCTGGTTCCCTGCCCGCCCCCCTCCGTTACTCGTGCCCCTCCGTTCCTCCAGCCTTCACCTTGCCTCCTCTAAGTCCTCCCCTCGCCGCATCCTCCTCCTCCTCCTCTTCCTCCTCCTCTCCTCCTTCTCCTCCTCCATCTCCTCCTCCTCTTCCTCCTCCTCGTCCTCCTCCTCTTACTCCCCCTCCTCCTCCTCCCCCCCCCTCCTCCTCCTCCTCCTCCTCCTCCTCCTCCTCCTCCTCCTCCTCCTCCTCATAACAGCCCCTCCCGGGCCCGAAGGCGGGCCCTTCGCTGCGCGCACGTGGGGGGGGGCGCAGCGCAGCGGAGCCATGTCGCGCGGCTGTGCGGCGTGATGCTACTGGTCCTCCCTATCGGGTTCCTCTTCTCGGCCGACGCGAAGCAGCTCGGCGAGACACTCGGGGCCATCGAGGCAGGGCTGAAGGCCTCCCAAGGCCCCACCGCAGAGCTTGTGGTTGCAGCCGAAGGAGCAGGTATCGAGGCAGTTCGACGTCATGTTGACGCAGGAACTACACCCGAAGTCGGCGGCCCCAGTGAGGCCGCCAGGCTGGTGGGGCTGGTCGCCCCCGCCGCCTCCGGAGGTGACGCTGGAGCAAGGCAAGTACCGGCAGGCCAAGAAGGCGGTCGAGGAGGCGGTGCAGGCGGCCAAGCGAAGGGCACGGCTGGTCAAGCAGGAGGTCGACGCACACTTCAGCCTGGAGGCGGTGGCGGAGGCCCAGGCTCGAGCGGTCCAGGCCCAGCTGAAGAACGTGGACCAGGAGAAGGAGCCCGAGACCATCGAGAACCTTCGCAAGATCTGGGACCGGGTCAAGGCGAAGGCGGAGGGCTCGCACCAGGTCGCGGAGGTCAAGCGCTCCAGGGCGGAGTCCATCCAGAGGGACTTGGAGGCCATCGAGGGCAGGGGCATGAAGCGTGCGGCGAGGTCCGTCTCGGAAGCGACTTCACGGTCAATTCCCCGAGACAGGAAGGGTTGGAACGCGTACGGGGAGAAGTCTCGGCCAAGGACCCCAAGAAGAAGCAGAAGAAGAAGCACAAGAAGTGGAGGCCGTGTCAGCCGAGGACAAGGTGATGCTCAACGACACGCTCCCCGCTACCCCCGGTGGGGCCGGCCCTGGAGAGGCTGGCCCCGAAGGCCTCGCGGCCTGCGCTGGTGGCGCGGGCCGCGAGGAGGTCTTCGCGCAGGGCACGAAGGTGGCGGAGGCAGTCGAGGAGTTCTTCATCGGCGACAAGGATCAGGACGGGGGGCCCGCATCGGGCTTCGTCGGAGGCTCGGGTCAGCCAGAGGTGAGCGTCGCGGATCGTGGGAGGTCCGTCAAGACCGGCTGGTACGACATCGAGGACAGCGGCGAGGAACAGGCGAGCCATCTCGAGCACGAGGAAGTGACGGAGTGGCACCCAGTCGGAGTCGCTCAACAAGAAGAGCGGGAAGCGCAAGAAGAAGAAGAATAACAACCTGAAGGGGTCTTCGAGCAGTGCTGGCTCGGAGGAGCCGCACACAGTGGCGATCCTCAACGGTGTCCTCACGAAGCTGGGGCACCAGGCATTCGTGGGCGATGGCGGGAGCGGCCTCCTGCAGAAGGCGTTGTCGGGGCTTTCGCCAGACCAGCGGGCCGATGTCCTGAGCACGCTGGCCACGGAGATCTACGACGTGGAGGCCTGAGGCGGCCTCGTGCGGGCCCAACGTGGCGCCGATCTCTGGGGGCTCCGGGTCGGCGCGGTCGGGCCTCGGGGATCAGTTCCCCAGCGTTGCTTGACCTTATCGGGGGGGTAGGCCTGGAAGCGCTGGCCCAGCCTCCCTGCTGGTGCGAGGCCGGGGTCTTCGACCTGGGGGAGGCTGGGGGTTGGTCCTTCGGCGTGGCCGGCGCCCCAGGCTCTTCCCCCTTTTCGCGGGATGCGAGGCTCGACAGAGCATGCACTTCTGACCCTTCTGACCCTCCTCATAACCCCCTCGACCAGCACCTCCCTCCCCACCCTCTTCTTCCGCTCCTCTTGCCCGGGAAGGCGAAGGGGCAGGAGGTACAGGCAGCAGTGCCACGCAGTGCTGCCGGGCGGCGCCGTGCCCCGAGGAGGAGGGGGAGGAGGGAGAAGGCAGGTCCCGAATATGCGTCTAACTTACAAGCTGTTTCAAGTGAGAATACGGAGAAAGATACGTAGAAGGAAGAGGAGGAGGAAGAGGAGGAGGAGGAGGACGAGGAGGACGAGGAGGACGAGGAGAAGAATAAGGATATGGAGGATATGGAGGATACGCAGGGGGAGGAGGAGGAGGAGGAGGAGGAGGAGGAGGAGGAGGAGGAGGAGGAGGAGGAGGAGGAGGAGGAGGAGGAGGAGGAGGAGGAGGAGGAGGAGGAGGAGAAGGAGGAGGAGGAGGAGGAGGAGGAGGAGGAGGAGGGGGAGGAGGAGGAGGAGGAGGAGGAGGAGGAGGAGGAGGAGGAGGGGGAGGAGGAGGGGGAGGAGACCCCGAGGTGCTCGCTTGGAACTGAATCGTTTTCTGGCAGGTGGGGAGTCTGGTGAGGGACCTACCACCCCCGCCAAACTTAACCTCACACGGGCGGTACCCTCAAGAGGGCGACGCCCGATAGATCGCAAAGTTTCCTGCTACCAGTGTGCATTCGAACCACTCGTTGCAATAGATTGCAAAGGCTCGTGCTACCAGTGCGAATGTGAATCAACTGGGCTTGACGATCAAATGGGTCGCAAACGCCCCGGTTACAAGTGTGAAAATTTGAACCATTCGGTTTAATAGATCGCAACCGCTCTGGCTATCAGTGTGAATGTGAATCAGCCACGCTGGACGATCCAATCGATCGCAATCGCGTTGGCTACCAATGTGAATGTGAACCAGTCGGCAGTCGGACTTAATTGGCGCCTCTATCTGAATGCCTACCCCTGCGATGCCTTTTACTGGGCGCCCCCCCAATGCTGAGACGTGCGACGTTTCTAACGGGGCGCCCTCCAATGCTGACCCCAAATCCCGAACACAATGGTATGGTAAAGATTGCACCGATACTTGATAAATGCACCCTCGACGGACTCATCGGCCCCCCATGCTGATAAACAAACGGATGGCCTTGCGTCAACCCGTTGCTTTTCAGTACTGGGGGACCGCGAGTTCTTCGAGGGTCTCTTGGAGGTAATGGGAGGGTAGAGGTACGAGCGATGAGGGAGGAAGGGAAGGAAGAAGGGAGAGAGTGGGAAAGACGAAGGATGAAGGAGGGAGACGGGGATGGACGAACGATGAGGGAGGAGGGAGTCGGGAGTAGGTGGTGGGAGGGTCGAGGTACGAGCGATGAAGGAGGAAGAGAAGGAAGAAGAGAGAGGGTGGGAAAGACGAAAGGTGAAGGAGGGAGACGGGGGTGGAAGAACGATGAGGGAGGAGGGAGGGGGGTACAGACGTAAGGAAGGAGGGGTGGAACAGAGTGGATGGACAAAGGGCGAAGTATGAACGAGGAATGGCACAGGGGGGAGCTGAGGGCTCACGAAAGAGGTAAGAAGAAGAATAGTAAGACGAAGAAGAAGAAGAAACAAAAACAACACAATAAGAATAATTAGAAGAAGAAGACGAAACAGACAGATAAGAAGAACAACGAAGGACGGAGGACGGAAGGAGGGCAGCGAGGGAGGAGGGAGGGAGGAGAGAGGGAGGAAGGAGGATGACCCATCGGCCATAAGAAGCCCCCAGGAGGCGCCAAGAGGCGCCTTTGAAGCCCCAGGCGGCCCCCAAAAGGCACTCGAGATAGCCCCCAGACGCCCCACGAGGCTTTCAAGAGCACTCCCAAGAGGGCCCCAAGAGGCAAATGTCCTTGTTTTTCCTTAGGTTTGGGGGAGATTTTGGCGTCTCCACCTTTTCGGCATCGCGACGCCCCAAGACAGCCCAAGAGGCCCCCAAGATCGCCCTAAGAGGCACGAGATGCCTCCGACAGGGCCCCAAGACGGCCCAAGAGGGTTCCAAGACGGCCCAAGAGGCCTCCAAGACGGCCCAAGAGGGCTCCAAGAACGCTCTAAGAGAAGCCCCAGAGGGGGAACACGAAACAACATTTCGAGCCCTCGGCCCTAAGAAGCCCCCAGGAGGCGCCAAGAGGCGCCTTTGAAGCCCCAGGAGGCCCCTTTGAAGCCCCAGGAGGCCCCCAAAAGGCACTCGAGATGGCCCCAGACGCCCCACGAGGCTTTCAAGAGCACTCCCAAGAGCTCCCCAAGAGGCAAAATTCATTGTTGTTCCTTAGGTTTTGGGGAGATTTTGGCGTTTCCATCTGTTCGGCATCGCGACGCCCCAAGACGGCCCAACAGGCCCCCAAGATCGCCCTAAGAAGACCGAGAGGCCTCCGACAGGGCCCCAAGACGGCCCAAGAGGGTTCCAAGACGGCCCAAGAGGCCTCCAAGACGGCCCAAGAGGGCCCCAAGAACGCTCTAAGAGAAGCCCCAGAAGGGGGAACACGAAACAACATGTCGAGCCCTCGGCCCTAAGAAGCCCCCGGGAGGCGCCAAAAGGCCCCTAAGAAGCCCCAGGAGGCCCCCAAAAGGCCCTCACGAGGCCCCCAAGAATCTCCCAAGCGGCTCCCAAGCGGCTCCCAAGCGGCCCCTCAAATGCCCCCCCGACCACGCTAGCAAGTGCCAGCGATGCGGCTCCAGGAGGCCCCCTAAATACCCCCCCGACAACGTTAGCAAGTGTCAGCGATGCTACAATATGGGCAGCGAGCACAAAGAAATTCTGGGGAACTTCTGCACAGCGCTCCGTCTACCCTCCTCAGGCACTCCTCCTCCTTCTCCTCCTCCTCATCCTCCTCCTTCTGATCCCCTCCTCCACTCCTCGATGGAGCGGTCCATCGCTGGGTGGGAGTCGCATTAGGCGCCGCGGGCTTGCAGCGAAGCGCCCAAAGGGTGAGACGGCCCAAGAGGCCTCCGACACGGCCCAAGATGGCACCAGGACAGCCCAAAGAGGAGGCCCAAAGTGGGAACCGGCCCCAAGCGGCGCCCAGGAGCCCCAAGATGCTCCCAAATGCTCCCA